TAATACTTTTCAATGAATAGGAGTCTAATTTAAACAAAGACTAACTTATCAATTAAAAACATCTTATGCTTCTCACTCTCTGTGTCTTTGATGCAGTTTGACCCACTTCGAGTTAATTTTTGTATATGGTGTTAGATAAAGGTCCAACTTCATTAGTTTGCATGTGGATATCCAGTTTTCTCATCTTAGAGGGTTTTTTTCTCATTGGATGGTCTTGGCATCTTTGTAAGATGGAAACATAAATAGATTAAATATGAAAGGATGCCCTGTCCATGTAGCTCAGTTGGTTGAGCATCACCCCATGCACTGAGGGATTGGCATTTTGATTCCCAATCAGGACACATACCCGGGGTTCAACCCCAGGTTGGGATACACAACCGATAGATGTTTCTCTCTCACTTTGATGTTTTTCTCTCTCTCCCTCTCCCTTCCTCTCACTCTAAAATCAATAAAAACATTTTCTGAAAAAGTGAAAGAATGCAAATAAGTAATCAAAAGAGAGCAAGGATATCTATACTAGCATTAGACAAAAAATAGACTTTAAATTAAAAAAAAGATTACAAGAGACAAAGAAGAACATTATATATTAATAAAAATTCAATAGAGCATGAAGATACAACAATTATAAACATTTACACACTAATAGATCATCAAAACATGTGAAGCAAAAATTTGACAAAGTCGAAGGGAGAAATAGAAGTTCTACAACTATTGTTAGAGGATTTACTATCCCACTCTCAATAATGAATAGAGCAAGCAGACAGAAGATAACTAAGGATATAGAGAACTTGAACAACATAAGACACAATGAGATCTCACAGACATATGCAGAACATTCTAGACAACAAAAGCATACTCATTCTTCTCAAGTGCACATGGAGCAATTTCCAAGGTAGGCCACAAATTAAGCCTCAACATATTTAAGAAGATAGATATCATACATCTCTGATCACAAAGGAATGAAGTTAGAAATCAATAGCAGAAGGAAAATTGAAAAATTCACAATTTTAAGCAACAAACAGGGCAAAGAATAAATCACAAGGAAAATTAGAAAATACTTAGAGATGGATAAAAACAAAAATATAACATATCAAAACTTCTGGAACATAGCAAAAGCAGTGCTAAGGGGGAAATTTATAGCTATAAATGTTTATGTTAAAAAACAAGAAAGATCTCAAATCAGCAACTGAACTCTACAACTTAAGGAACTAGAAAAAGAAGAGCAAATTAAACTGAAAGCTAGCAGAAATAAATAAATAATAAAAATTAGAGCAGAAACCAATAAAACAGAACTTAAAAACAATATAGAAAATCAATGAAACAAAAAATTGGTTCTGTGAACAAATCAACAAACTGGACAAACCTTTAGCTAGATGGACTAAAAAAAAGAGAGAGACCTCAAATCATTAAAATTAGAAATGAAAGTGGGAACATTACTACTGATCCAACAAAAATAAAAAGGATCAAAGGAGAGTACTGTGAATAACTATATGTCCACAATTGGATCACATAGATGAAATGGACAAGTTCCTAGAAACACAAAACCTACCAACACCAAACCATAAGGAATTACAAATATGGTTAACCTATCATTAGTAAGATGATTTGATCAGCAACCAGAAATGTGACAAAGGAAATTCCTAGCTTCATTAGTGAATTCTACCAAACATTTAAAGAATAATACCAACCCTTCTCAAACTTATTGAAAAAACTGAAGAGGCGATACACTCCCCAACTCATTCTATGAGGCCAGAATTATTCTGATACAAAAGCCAGACAAAGGTACTACAAGAAAAGAAAATTGCAGACCGATATCTCTCATGAACATTGTTTAAAAAATCCTCAAAAAATACTAGCAAACCAAATTCAGCAGCATATTAAAAGAATTGCACACCATGACCAAGTGGAATTTATTCCTGGAGTGCAAGGATGGTTCAACATCTGAAAATTGATCAATGTAATACACCACATTGGCAATGAAGGAAAAGGCCATATGATCATCTCAATTGACGCAGAAAAAGCGTCTGACAAAATTCAACATCCTTTCTTGATAAAAGCACTCAACAAACTAGGAATAGAAGTAAACTACCTCAACATAATAAAAACCATATATGGAAAACCCACACCAAGCATCATACTCAATGTGAAAGACTGAACACTTAACATCTGAATCTAATAAGGTAACTCTGAAAATCAGATTCTCCCTCTTCCCCAGGGTTTGCTGTTGTTTTGGGGTTGGGGGCGGGGGGGGGGGGGGGAAGGGGGTTGTTCATTCGTTATTTGTTGTTGTTTTTGTTTTTTTGGAGATTTCTGTTGTTGCTGTTGTCCCTATACCAAGGATCTGCCTAAAAGTATAAACATAAGGTCTTCTTGGGTCTTTTCTGATCCTGTACCTTTCCCTAGGCATGCATAGTGACTTTCTAATTTCCCTTGTATATGCCATTGTTTTTAATTTTCTAGTCTTTAATGTATGGTTCCCAAAAGGGGGAAAAGAGAAAAATTAATTGGGGAAAAAAAGGGCATCAGCCCTTTAAATAGTACACTGTAGGTCATTTCAGACAGATGAGAAGCAGTTTGCAAAAATGGGAGGAAGGGTAACAATGCCACCATCTCTCTGTCTGAACCTCTGTGAAAAGCAGCAGCAATGAGCAATCAGAGCAGATCCCAAATACATGGAGGACAGGGGGCTTTTTGCCCCCACCCCTCCTGTCTGGTTCCCACAATCTGTATACAAGCTGTTTTGGGAAAACATGCATAGCTACCTGCCACAAGGCACACTAGTGACAGATGAGTAACTACTACTGTGCTAACAGCTGAAAATGGCCAAAATTAGCTTCAATTTACCTCCCAACCCTCCCCCTGGAAGTTACAAGCCTTCAATAGACTCTAGAAGTCCAAAATATTTACATTAAACAGATTCTGTCAGTATAATTTTATCTAGGTGGGGAGACAGATTTGTTGCTTGCTATTCCACCATCTTCCCAAGAATCTTCAAACCATATTTTAATGTTTAATAAGTTATTAAGCTTGAGTTTTCACTTTATAATTTATATTTAATCAAATTTTAGCTCAAAAGAAAGAATCCTGCTAACTTCATTATGTTTGAACCTTTAATTAACCACCTATACACACAGTGTCTTTCAGTATGGACATAGGCCAAGAGATGTTTGCTGAGACAGCTAGAAGGTGCAGTTACCAGTTAAGAGGGTCAGATTAAAAAAGAAAAAAAGAGGGACAGATAAAAGGACCATGTTTTCTAAATTCAAAACTCAGATCAGGACTTAACAAAATATTTAAGAATGATTATGTGAAAAAATCTTATAAATATATAAAAATTAGCCCTGGCCAAGTGGCTCAGTTGCTTGGAGCATCATTCCATATACCAAAAAGGTTGTGGGTTCAATTTCCAGTCAGGGCACATACCTAGGTTGTGGGTTGATCCCCGGTCGGGGTTCAGACAGGAGGCAACTAATCAATTTTTCTCTCTCACATCAATGTTTCTCTCTCTCTCTCCCCCTTCCTCTCTCTCTCTAAAAAACATATCCTCAGGTGAGGATTAAATATATATATAAAATTTAAATTGCATTGTGAATTTACTGTACTGGCCTTTACTAAAAATAAAGCAAGCCCTGGCAGTGTGACTGGGATGGTGGGGCATCATCCCATTCATGGAAGAGTTGCCGGTTTGATTCTTGGTGAGGCCACATGCCCAGGTTGCAGACTCGATCCCTAGTGGGAGGCACACAGGAGGCAGCCGATCAATGTTACACTCTCGCATGGATGTTTCTCTCTTCTCCCTTCCTCTCTCTCTAAAAATCAATTAACTATTCTCTTTTTTAAATATATTTTTATTGATTTCAGAGAGGAAGGAAGGGGGAGAGAGAGATAGAAACATCAATGATGAGAGAGAATCATTGATCGGCTGCCTCCTGCACATCCTCTACTGGGGATTGAGCCCACAACCCACACATGTGCCCTTGACCAGAACTGAACCCAGGACCCTTCAGTCCACAGGCCAATGCTCTATCCACTGAGAAAAACCGGCTAGGGCAATAAACTTTTCTTTAAAAAATTAAAAAATCTAATCAAAACTGTCCCCAGAAAACACCCAGCTGGTGTGGCTCAGCAGTTGAGCGACAACCCATGAACCAAGAGGTCACCAGTCGACTCCTGGTTGTGGGCTCAATCCCCAGTGGGGTGCATGCAGGAGGCAGCCGATTAATGTTTCTCTCTCATCAATGTTTCTATCTCTCTATTCCTCTCCCTTCTTCTCTCACTTAAAATTTAAAAAAAAGAAAGAAAAAAGAATCAATAAAAACATATTTTTAAAAAACTGTCCCCAGAAAACTGAACCATATAGTCTCCACATACATGTGGAAAGAAGAACAGAGAGTGGGGTAGGCATTGATCATTGAGTGAATTATTTCCAACTTTCATTCATTAAATGTTTTGATCATAACATCTCAACAAATGTCCTATAAATAAAATCAGTACATTTTTCTTTATACTTAATGTAAATACCAACAGTGGTCTCCTATCAACATTATACAAGGTACCACTTCACAGTTTTCTTAATCAAATATTAAAATAATTATCTATATATATAAAAGCCTAAGCGACCGGCCGACTGGCTGACCAGTTGGTAGCTATGACACGCACTAACCACCAGGGGGCAGACGCTCAACACAGGAGCGGAAACCACAGGCATGGAAACATGGAACAGACCGATGAATCTCAAAGGGAAGGGGGGAGGGAGGAGGGCAGGAAGAGATTAACCAAAGATCTTATATGCATACTAGAGGCCCAGTGCACGTGCACTGTGGGGTCCCCTCTGCCTGGCCTGCGGGGATCAGCCCAAAACCAGCTCTCTGACATCTCCCGAGGGTTCCTGGATTGTGAGAGGGCGCAAGCCAGGCCAAGGGACCCCACCGGTGCACGAATCCGTGCACTGGGCCTCTAGTATGTAATAAAAATAAAATCACAAAAATCATAAACACAAGTACAATGTAGAAAATACAAAAATGTAATTGATTTGCCTTATTCACCGAATGGTTAGCTATACAGATATAATTTTTGCCTTGAAGTTTAAGGCAGTTCCATTTTTCACCGGAGTTACATTTTCTGATAATATACTAGGACCGGCATCTTCTGTCTTATCTGTATTTAATTGATCATTTATGTTTTATACATTTGTGCACCTGAGAACCATATTTTCTTCGTGATCACTGAGGCTCTGTAATATAAAATGTCATTGCCTTCATATGTTTGAGTAATACCGATGACGGTTTTGAAAGTCTCTGTGAGCATATTTTGCATATGTCTTGTTATGTGGGATCCTTCCAAAAGGTTCATGGTCATTGAAACAAGATTCAAAAACTTCATCAACAGCCTTTTCAGCTACTTCTTTGCTGACATTCCTAACAGCCAGGATAGAAAGAATGGCTCTGTCTCTGACACACGTCTAAAGAGAAGAAAAAAAAAAGGGTGTGGCTTTAGTTTTATATGAAAATTTAACCATGAAATAATAGCATTTTATATAATATCTGAACCATAATCAAAACTCATTTTTGCCCTGGCTGGTTTGGCTCAGTGGATAAAGCGTCGGCCTGTGGACTAAAGGGTCCTGGGTTCAATTCTGGTCAAGGGCATATGCCTGAGTTGCTGGCTCAATCCCCAGTGGGGGGCATTCAGGAGGCAGCCAATCAATGATTCCCTCTCATCATTGATGTTTCTCTCTCTCTCTTTCTCTCTCCCTTTCTCTCTGAAATAAATAAAAATATATTTTTTTAAAAACTTATTTTCCTATTATTTCATTCTGTCATTCCAAAAAAGAAATTAGCTCACTCTAAAAATTATTTAGGTATACGTAAAACTTCTTTCAATTTTCTCATACTTTCCAATAACATAAGCAGATGTCATTCTCTGAAGTTCTAGACAGTGTTTGCCAAACAATAACTCCCAATTGACAAAATCACAGAAAAGTGGATAAATAAGGTTCTGGTTGGATTTTTAATAAAATTTAAATAAAGGTAAAATATACTTTACTTCTGTAACTCTCTTCCTTTGCATTGAGCAATGCTAAGTAACTTTTCCTTTGAGAGAAACACTATCCCCTGCAAGCAATAGAAAACCACACATATATACACATAGTTTGAAGATGTCTTCATTTTTCAGGGGAAAAACAAATCAAACTTTTTTTGTTTGTTTCTGAGTGTTCTTTGCATGGGTGTTCAAGTGTTCTTTCTAAGAAGATAATTTACCTAATGTTACATTATAATAGACCAAAATTTTTCAGTATTCTAAGTATTTTAAGAAATATAAGGTCACACAGCCAGTGTTGCTCAGTGGTTAAGCATCAACCTATGAACCAGGAGGTCACGGTTCAATTCCCAGTTAGGGCACATGCCTGGGTTGCAGGCTTGATCCCCAGTGGTGGGCATGCAGGAAGCAGCCAATCAGTGATTCTCTCTCATCGTTGATGTTTCTATCTCTCCCTCTTCCTTCCTCTCTGAAATCAATAAAAATATATTTTTTTAATTTGAAAAAGGAAAGAAAGAAAGATAAGGTCCTACCATTCCAATTCTTGAAGAGCTTTTACTCATTGTATTTCCCCACGGGCCCAAACGAAAACTCAAAAGAATGGCATTTAACATTTTCCTGAAAAATAACCAAACACTGGTTCTGAAGGCTGTGCATCCTGTCAATCATTGATTTTCTCTGCATGTTCCCAGTTTTACTTGGCCTGGTCAGCATGCCCAGCCTAGAGATGCTCACTGATACTGGAATATAAAACAGTGCTTCTCAATCTAAATTACACCAAACACTGATTTTTAAAATAAACCCTAGGCATAACGGAATAAGGAGAGAAAGATTGGTACGAAGCCACAACCACAATTGCCACAGAGGAAATTTCTCCCCTGGGTAAAAATTTGTCTCCTGGAGACATAGGAAGATACAAGTATAGATCACAATTCAGATTCACTTCTTTGTAGATGTAATAAATTTCTGTTAAAAGTGTGCAAATTTACAATCAGTTACTGTGGTTGATGTTTATGCTTCTTTTTTTAAATATATTTTTATTGATTTCAGAGAGGATGGGAGAGGAAGAGAGAGATAGAAGCATCAATGATGAGAGAGAATCATTAATCAGTTGCCTCCTGCACGCCCCACACTGGGGATCAAGCTCGCAACCTGGGCATGTGCCCCAACCAGGAATCGAACTGTGACCTCCTGGTACATAGGCCCATGCTCAACCACTGAGCCACGCCAGCTGGGCTGATGTTTATGCTTCTTGGGTACAAAAGCAGAACTCCATTCCCTAACACTCTTCTCCCTCAACCGGGCTCCCACTACCTCCCCATAGTTACTTCCTGTTGCTAGCTCTATTCATTTTCTGCTGCTGCTACCCAAGTTTTTTTAAAAAAAAAAAAAAAAAAAAAGGAGAGACTTCTCTTTCAAAGACTCTGGGCCCTGGACCACATGCTTTAACCACATTATCCTCTTCTTCCACCCTTCCCGCTGAGAGCCAGAACACACAGGCCATCCAACTGCAGCCCAAGCCGTATTTACCGGAGGGGAGGCGCAGGGATCCCGGGCACAGAAGACATGTGGCACAGCAGCTCAGCGCCGTATCACTAAGCTGACTCACACAGGCTGAAAGCATAACAGCCTTACCTAAGGCATTACCCTCTCCAAGCAGCAGGCTCCTCCTCTAGCTCCCATTCACAAGGTCACACCTTCTCTTAGTTCACTGGATTTTCTTCCCTCCACCCTACAGATGAGTGACTCTTCGCTAGAGAACCAAGGGTCTCTCTGTTGTTGTTGCAAGCCTACCCTTTTTTGCATCTACTATCCGGTTGGAACTGCTATCCTGATGCTCATAACCCTCACAAATCGGCCCAGCACGCTCTTCCCACAGAAAGTCTCTCACCAGCCTTTCCTTAAGTGTGGGCTCAGAGCCCCTTGGTTGCTATGGGCAGAACTGCTCACATTCATTACCAGTCCATCGGTTCCATGCTCCTCTCCCCATGTCCATCTGTGGCGGATAGATGTATGACGTGATAGTGAAGCTCTCTAACAGGATGATCTCGCCTCTAATTTCCTTTTGGGGTTTTGTTATTCGTTTTGTTTAGTTTTGGCTACAAAACCCCTCTCAGCTCAGTTTATCACACATTGTATGCGGGAAACGTATTTATACGTTTTATGTTGACTGTAAGTAGTAGAGCGCAGGACACGTATTAATACGTTTTTTATAGACTAGCGGTAGAATGCGGGTAATGTATAAATACGTAAACTAAAGTTATCGTAATTTTACTGAACGTTGCCATTTGCGCAAAAAATTAGCAAAAATGGCCCACGCCACCTGTTAGCGCGCAATAAAAACTACCCGCAAACAATGTGATCATATTCAACCTGTATTAATCCAAACCTTTGCTATGACGTCATACAGCCCCCAACGGCGCACTAATACACCGCCGTAACCTGTGCCGCAGTGAAGTCTCTTCTGAAAGGTATTACTTCTTTGTCTTGAGAATACAGTGGTAATTTAAAAATGTAAGTCCAGGACTGCTAGGGTAACAGTAAGACAGGCTGTGGTTTCACTTCCACTCCTTATCTACCCCATCCACAAATGTCCCAAGAGCGAGATCATAATAGTTCTTTTCACTATTAAAATCTTTCAGTCAGGCCGAAACCGGTTTGGCTCAGTGGATAGAGCGTCGGCCTGCGGACTGAAAGGTCCCAGGTTCGATTCCGGTCAAGGGCATGTACCTGGGTTGCGGGCACATCCCCAGTAGGAGATGTGCAGGAGGCAGCTGATCGATGTTTCTCTCTCATCGATGTTTCTAACTCTCTATCTCTCTCCCTTCCTCTCTGTAAAAAATCAATAAAATATATTTTAAAAAAAAAAAAAATCTTTCAGTCAGGCACACAGCTCACCCATAATTATAAAACAGAACTAAATTCCATCTCTTTGGCTTAAACGGTATACCGTTTGTATTCATTTCATGTAAGTAGTTCTTCCAAGTTTCAAATACTAAATGTACTTCTCATTTCTTTATTCATTATTTCCACTCTTAGACTCTTAAAGGTAAGTGACTTCATGCTAGTTTTTACCTGATGGTGTTGTTTTAATCCAAAACGTAGCCTGAATATTTCATTCACAAGTGAGCAGTCTCCACTGAGGTTAGCAGCTCGAATCTATCACACAGACAGAAGGCAAATGAAAAGAAAATAAGTGCCCGTGCTCTATGCCTTTATAACAACCAATCTTTTTAATTGTAAAAGAATATATAAAAGTAGCATGCTTTTCTGAGATCAGAATAACTGTTAAGACTTTTTTGAGCCTGACTGGTTTGGCTCAGTGGATAGAGCATCGGCCTGCGGACTGAAAGGTCCCAGGTTCGATTCCGGTCAAGGGCATGTACCTTGGTTGCGGGCACATCCCCAACAGGAGGTGTGCAAGAGGCAGCTGATCGATCTTTCTAACTCTCTATCTCTCTCCCTTCCTCTCTGTAAAATATCAATAAAATATATTTTTTAAAAAAAAGACTTTTTTGAAAGAATTTTTAAAACTCTATTGACTCCAGAAGTTCTTCCGGTAAGAAAGAGAGCAGCTATCCATGAGCTATGACAGACACTGCCAAAGGCAACGGGCTGGGTGTGCATGACAACCTGAAGTTAGGACATATTTTCTAATTTACTACATTTTTTAAGTAAAAAGCAGCTTTAATAGATGAAAAAAATCTTGGAACTACCCACACAGATTCTACAGCTAACCTGGCGACATGTTTGCTAATTCACAGCAAACAGAGTGACCCACGTCATGTTACTTCACAACAGCACGGTCTTATTCCTCTGAAGAGCTCAAGGCACTTACACATGCTAGCCAACAGGCAGGAATCTCATAACGCCCGAGAGAGACCTATTTAAAAACTCAGGATTCACCAATGAACAAAATAAACTGATGAACAAAAGAGAAACACAGGCAGGGATACATGGAACAGACTGACAGCTGTCAGGAGGGACGGGGCGGGAGGGGGACAGGGGGCACTGGATGAAAGAAGGTGAAGGGATTAGCCAAAGAATATATATGCCTAGCCCACAGACACAGACACCAGTGTGGTGATGGCCAGAGGAAAGGGGGAGCAGAGGATGGGTGGAGATGGGCAATAGGTGAGGGGTGACATCTGTAATAGTGTCAACAATAAAGTTAAAAAAAAAAAGAAAACTCAGGATTCAGTCTACTCTCCAAATAATGAGTTATAATTAGATGCAGTGAGGCTGCTTATTAATTTAAGGGAAAGAGAAAATAATCTAAGTTATAAAATATAAGCTTGAAGTTTATATTAGCTTTTTAACTTCTCAATACATTGCACTCTTTGATTAATGAAATGCAAGTATGAAATACTTATGTCTCTCTAGGAATATATTTATATTTATAAGTATATTTTTTAGAGCAATCCAAAGTGCTTATTGATAAATATCTTTTTATGCTTTACTCTAGAGCAAGAAAGGATCTTTACCTATAGAAAGCAGCACAAAAGCCAATTAGGGACCCTGGTTGTAAACCTGCCTCTTTCACTTACTGAAGTATGGAATCTAAACAAATGCCTCACTTTCCACAGATATTACATGAGGATAATAGTATCCGCTTCCATGGGCTGTTGTAACAACTATGACCCACAAACGCTTTCCGTGCCGACAGCGCTCTCACAAACATGGAGAATGTTCCTAAAACCCGCTGGATTTTCTGTAAAAAGTGGGGCGAGCATAAACCCCACAAAGTAACAATACAAACCAGGCAAGGATTCTCTGTGCACAGGGAAAGCGGCATTACGACAGGAAGCAGAGTGGCTGTGGTGGGCACACTAAGCTGATTTTCCACAAAAAAGGCTAAGACTACAAAGAAGTTTGTGCTGAAGCTTTAGCCAGTTGGTTAGAGTGTTTGTCCTAATGCACCAAGGTTATGGGTTCAATCCCCAGTCAGGGCACATACAAGAATCAACCAATAAATGCCTAAATAAGTGGAACAACAAATCAACGTTTCTCTCTCTCTCTCTCTCTCTCTCTCTCTCTCTCTCTCTCTCTCTCTCTCTTTCTTGGGGTGGAGGGGGGGAGGGTAAAGGGGGCCCATGGGGGGAAAAGGGGACATATATAATACTTTCAACAAAAAATTTTTAAAATAATAAAATCAATAAATTTTTTAAAATTTGTTTAAAGGAGATTGTGCTGAGGCTTGAATGTGTTGAGCCCTACTGAAGATCTAAGAAAACACTGGCTATTAAGAGACGCAAGCACTTTGAACTAGGAGGAGATAAGGAGAGACAGGGCCTAGTGATCTAGTTCTAAGCTTCGTATTTTGTTTTATTATGTAACAATAAAATCTTGAGGATATGTTCACTTCAAAAAAAAGAATCCACAAACAGAACAGTGTTTGGCACATAAATGTTAACTGCCCTTAATTTTTTTGTTATATAGTTTATTCCATAAGAAATAGTCTATTATAATTAAAGTTAATAACTACTATTAGGATTTAAAAGGTTATATTTAATACAATTCTAAAAAATATACTTAAAATTTCTGTTATGTCTCAAAAATTTGTATTCAATAGTTAGAAACAGAAATTCAAGACTAACATGGAGCTATCACAGTAAGAGAAGGAGTATCCTATATAATAAAAGCCTAATATGCTAAGTGTTTGGTCATCCAGTTGGCCGTTCAACCAATCAAAGCATAATATGCTAATGTTGTGCTAAGTCCGTTCAACCACTCACTATGACGTGCACTGACCACCAGGGGGCAGGCAGTTGACCAGTCGACCAGTCACTATGATGTACACTGACCACCAGGGGACAGACGCTCCAAACGGTAGGTTAGCTTGCTGCTGGGGTCCAGCCGATCGATCGGGACTGAGCAAGACGAGCTGGACACGCCCTGGAGCCCTCTCGAAGTCCCTCCCCAGCTGGCCTACCTTCTGCGTCCCTCCCCAGCCCCAATCGTGCACCGGTGGGGTCCCTCGGCTTGGCCTGTGCCCTCTCACAATCCAGGACTGCCGGGAACCAATTCCAGCATGTCATAATTTCAAGAGTTTCATCAAAAGGTTGATGAAACTTGGGGACTCAACAGGGTTGAGTCACACGTGTAGTCACCTGTTGGGAATGGCTAAAGGCATTTCCCCAAACCTGAATAGGAAACTGATTGTGGCTGCCAGACAGTTAAAGGGCATCTTAATCTACATGTTATTGCCTCCTACTGACCAAACACCTGAACAGCCGTAGGCTAGTCCCCAAACTGACAATGCTTCTGTACCCTTTGAAACCTTACCCTTTGAAGTGTATTATCTCCACCTTGCCTCAGGACAAATTGTGTTAATAAAAGCAAGGGTCCTAGACAAGGAGGGAGTCTTTAGTTCCCTTAGCTGAAGGTCCTCTGACCCCCAATGCCTTTCAAAATTATATCTCGTCTCCGGACTCTTTATTAGTCTCTGGATTCCTATGTCATCTACGCACAGCCTTTTCCAGATTCCTGAACCCTTCTTGATGCTGGGACAAGAACCCTGGCACAGGACCCCTCGGGGGATGTCAGAGAGTCGGTTTCAGACTGATCCCTCAGGCCAGGCCCAGGGATCCCTCTGGTGCACGAATTCGTGCACCAGGCCTCTAGTGTTTAAATAAAATACTTTAATAAATAGTTCAAACATAGTGTTCTGCAGGGGGGGAAAGATATCGTTTACAATAAAACTCACCTCTGAGCAGGCCAAATGTCTGACATTGGTGAACCAGTCGACATGAGCACGACAATGATCAAACGTATGAATGAGCTCGTGGGTGACCACTCTGTTCATATGGGCCTGATTACGGATATTATTCTGGCACAAAACAATCTAGGAGACACCAAAATAAGAGAAGTTCAGTTATGTCTAAAATCTACTCTCATTTCATGGATGCCATCCTCTCCCACACATGAGGGGGACTTACCTGCTTGCATTGCCTCCACCCACTTTTCTCCACTGACCCCACCACTCTCTACCGTCAAGGTCCAGTATAACCACATGCTCCATTAAGCCTTCCCAGTGACTAACTTCTCCCCTCCCTCCTCTCTGGACTATAACAGCACTTACATTGAGGACACGTATTCACACACTGCCCTCCTGGGCTGACTGTATCAGTGTGTCTTGGACTCCACAGCATTGTATTTAGAGTGTGGACTGCGGAAGAAGCTGACAGATTCAAATTCTAGCCCCATTCCTTACTAATTCGATGACCGAGGGCAAGTTTCCTACCTTCCCTGTGCCTCTGTTTCCTCAACTATGAAAGGAAATCATTAGAGTACCTACCTCATAGAATTGTGAGAATTCAATGAGAATATAGGTAAAATGCTTCTGACTGAGGTTCTGAATGAGCAATGAATCAACAATGAATGACCACCACTGTCCCACTCTACTAGAATTGCCAGAAAAAAATGCTCAGAAAGACCTTCAGAAAGAAGTGCAAAAAGCCCACGGCACACTGAGCAGGACCCTATAAGAATAATAAAGACATGAGAGATCCTAATCATAGTTACCATTCAACATCCATTTATTCAACTGATATTTATGGAGACCTTTTAGTAGATTTATAATCTACTAACGGAGATAGAAATTAATCATTATTTACCAAAATGTTTAAATGCATGCAATGACAGCTGTCATGAAGAAAAACCCAGGTTGACATGAGTACCTACAATGAGAGAACCTGGCCTGGTCTGGAGGCTGGGGAAGGCTTCTCTGCAGAAGGAATGTTTAAACTGGGATCTAATGGGCGAATGGTAGGTAAATTTGAGGACAGGGGAGGGAGCATACCAGAGAGAACACCGAGGTAAAGGGCATGGGGAGGGTGGGAGGAACAGAACGTTTGAGAAGCAAGCTTATGTTTCTGAAGCACAGAGTTTGAGGTGGTGGGCATCAGATAAGGCTGGTGAGGTCAGCAGTGGCCAAATAACTGAACGCCTTGCCTTTATCCTGAGAGCAGTGGGAAGTCACTGAAAGGAAGTAGTGAAATGGGGGTGCTTTTGTTTTATTTTGTTTTTATTCCTTTGACTGTAGTTGGAAAAATAAGCAGAAGATGACCAAAACTGATGCAGAGAGACTAGCTGAAGGCTAGTGAAGTATTCTAGGCAAGAGGTAATGGGACCTGAGCTAGGATAGAGGAAGCCAACAATGTTATCTAGGAGGTAAATTAGATAAAATTTGGTGATGGGCCCGGCCGCCATAGCTCAGTGGTTGAGCATCAGTCTATGAACCAGAGGGTCATGGTTTGATTCCCCGTCAGGGCACATGCCCAGATTGCGGGCTCAATCCCCGATGTGGAGCATGAGGGAGGTGGACAATGGGTGATTCTCTCTCATCATTGATGTTTCTATCTCTCTCTCTCTCCCTTCCTCTCTGAAATCAATAAAAAATATATTTTTTTAAAAATCTGGTGATAGCCCTAGCTGGTTTGGCTCAGTGGCTAGAGAGTCAGCTTGCAGACTAAAGGGTCCTGGATTCGATTCTAGACAAGGGCACATGTCCAGGTTGCGGGTCCAATCCCCAGAGAGATAGAATCATTGATGTTTCTCTCTCTCTCACTCTCCCTTCCTCTAGTAAATCAATTTAAAAATATACTAAAAATTTGGTGATGGATAGAATATGGAAAGGGAATCAGAGGTATCAAGAATGATACTGAATTTCTGGTTTGTATAATAGGATAGATGGTGGTACCATTCAACTGAAATATGCAAAACTAAAAGACCAGGTTGGGTGGGGTAGGGGATGGTAAAAATCATCAATCTGAAAAAAATAATAATTAATCTGGACTCGGACAGGTCAGATCTGAGGTGCCTTTAAGGCAACCAAGACTGGGTATTAAGTAGGCACTTGGATATACAAATGTGGAGTTCAAAGGAGAGCTCTGACCTAGGAAAATAAGTGAGATCCTCTTGGCAGAGTATAGAGTCCAAAAGAAAGGCTCTAACACCAAGAATTAAGGGACTTCAACATTGAAGGGCTGACAGAGAAAGGTGAGCTAGCGAAAGAACTACCAAAAGAGTGCTGTACACCGGGCACCATGGGGAGAAAAGTGTTTGGCATGACCTGCTAATGTCAAATGTACGCATACCATATGACCCAGCAATTCCACTCCTAAATATATACCTTGCAGTAACTTTTTGCACATGTGCACCAGGAGAAAAGTTAAAAAATATTCACAGCAGCGTTGCTCAAAATAACAAAGTTGGAAAGAATCAATATTAGATAGGGTAAACTGTAGTACAGACACACCATGAATACTATCCAACAGTGAAACTAAATAAACCAAAAGTATACACAGCAACGTGGAAGAATCTCACAATGCTGAACAAAAGAAATGTTGCAAAAGATGATATACTGTATGATTTCATAAAACTACGAAGTATTACCTATAACTCAAAATATTCCATGAATCAACCTTAAGAGCAGGCAACTAAATAACACATTGTTGGATGTTTAAGCAACTCAGAAAGCAGGGGGTGAGTACCACAAGAGTTAGAATAAGGAAGGGGAGATCATGTGATCTAAGAGGGGCACACGGGCTTCCAAAGTCCTGGCAACGCTCTCTCTCTCACATCTGGGTGGCAGTTACACAAGTATTCATTCTTTATTATGACCAAAAAATGTACATATAGGTTTTTTCCTCTCTGTATAAATGAGATGCTTCACAATACAATTTTAATTTTTAAAAAATGTAAGAGGGTGCTCACTGTGTTCAAAACTGCTGAGAAGATGAAGGTTCAAAATATCCACTCTATTTAATCCTAGGGGGGCAAGGAACTTACCAAGACACAATCTGAGCGCTATAGGTATTGTGATTACTAATTTACAAGTGAGGAGACTGAAAATAAGGCAATAACTTGCCCACGCCCCACAGCTAATGAGGCTTTAGATACAATCATTACTCATGTTTTACAAATGAGAAATCTCACTCCCCTCATCAAAATTGTCAAAGGTGTATATCATTTCTCACCATGTAAAGGTGAAACTCTTTAGCTTAGCATTCAAAGCTTCCCACCATATGGCTTTCCTTCATTCCAATCCTATCTCCCCTAATTCCCGTGTATTCCTGCCCTCCAGCAAACCAGACGACATGCCATTCCACAAATACACCTTGTTCTTTCCCAACACGCCACCTTGGCTCATGCTTCCCCTGTGTGGGCAACAGTCTTTGTCTTCTTTGCCCTGAAGAGGCTCTATAACCTCTAGCTGCATCAGTGAGCATCTTTCAGTCAATCATGTCACTGCCCCATAGTAGCAACCATGCCCACCTAAAATACTCTAACCTGCCTCCCTTTGTGTCCTGGCCTGTGTTCATGTCTTATCTCCCCTGTGAAGAGGTGAGCTCCTTAAGAGTAAGGACCATGACTAATTTCACTTTTTTGAATCCCACACACAGTCTACCGAACGATCCCCAGCATGGGGAAGGTCCTCAGGAGAAATGGGAGGAAAGAAAACAAGTTGGCAAAAATGCCTACCTGAGACACTGACGCATCAAAGCCTCCACTGACATTCCCATTACAGTCTTCACAAGAAAAGTGTCTTTCTCTGTTAACGGCACTAAAAGGCAAGAAGGAATGGGAGACGATGTCCAGAAGCAGTGTGCACGTGGCACAGGGAACTGCCCTGGGCCAGGACGCCCGCATCAAATCCCCTCCACACTGACACATAGGAAGCACCGGGAAAGCAACTTAACACCCTCAGGACTCAGCTTTTTCATCTGTAAAATAAGGATATTACCTCTGACATCTATCCTAGTTCAAATTCTATGAACGTTATGATTCCACAGAGCATTTGGTCAACTAATTAAGACCACACTGGAAATATGATGGGGTTCCTGTCCTTGGGCCAGAATGGTAAGAAGAAGTGGATCAAAAGTCACTTCCTTTAATACCCTCAAAGTTAAACAACACCTGGACAGTTCTGACATAACCAGCTGAGATCTGTTCTGCATTTAGGAGAACGCTGAGGCTGGCATAGTGGGAAAGCCAGGTTTAGTAATTACTTACAAGAAAGGTTTTAAGTATTGTGTTTAATAAATAACCAAGGTGAACGGTAGAGCCAGAGATATAGCGTTAAAGCAGATGTCTGAAAAGCATAAGGCTTGTCTGGAGAGAATGCAGCCAATCACTACCATCTACCATATGGAAAAGGCTTTGTGGCTCTGGCCTGTTTGGCTCAGTGGATAGAGCGTCCGACTGCAGACTGAAGGGTCCCGGGTTTGATTCCAGTCAAGGGCACATGCCGGGGTTGCAGGCACAATCCCCAGTAGGGGGCATGCAGGAGGCACCGATCCATGATTCTCTCTTATCATTAATGTTTCTATCTCTCTCTCCCTCTCCCTTCCTCTCTGAAATCAATAAAAAAGTAATTTTTTTAAAAAAGAAAGAAGAGGCTCTGTGGCCTAAAGTGAAATATAAGTGGTTCCAGTGTTTTGGATTTTGTTTTCAGCAGGCAGAACATAGGGCAGCACTTCAAAAAGATTTACTTACCAACCAGAGCGCTTCATGGCATCAAGCAGAAGTTTGACATATGGATCTAAAAAGATATTGATTCGATTATGTATGCTAATTGAATAAACAGCCAATTAAATTATCCAAACAGCAGTATAAGATATTATCAAAAAGCAACTCACAAATCTTAATGAAGTTATACTATATTAAAGTAGGGTGGTTTTTGTTTTTTTTTTTAAAGACAGGCTTAAATTAACATAAAAGCAAGACTTTAATGAAATGAAGCACTGATACAAATACCAAGATGGGTGCTACCAAACATCTTAGATGATCTCAAATATGTTTTTAAAGGCCATTTTAGGTAAATGATCAAAGACTGAGGGCATTTTGGGCCATAGCCATAGGAGCAGACAGCAGCATAGCATCCAGATTCAGAGACACGCAGGAGGTAGCCCCACTGCTGTCCATCGGGTCAGACCACACTGCAGCTCGGGTCCCAGACTGAGTACCACACTCCACGGGGCCTGCCAGCTGAAGCTCTTCCTTGAGGGAAGGCGATTAGCACAGCACAGGACTATGTTCAGCAAGACACAAGAAAGGATTTGTGGACTCGGAAAGGAGAAAAATAACTAGGACCACAGTAGCTTCAAGGATTTAAAGGGGTACCGTGTGGGAATAGATTCAGTTGCTATTTCTTAAGAGGATAGCACAAGGACCACGGGGTAGAAGTTAGATGGGGCAAATTTCAACTCAGTATGAGAAAGGATTTTCCCCAACAATTAAAGCTTTTGATACAATAGACAAGTAGCCTCAAAAAACAGAGAGCCGCCCTGGCCAGCTGCTCAGGGGCAGAGCATCAGCCTGGGGACGGAAGGGTCACACAATTTGCTTTGAAGAAAAAGAAAACAAAAATCTCCCATGAGGCTTGGTTTCTCCAGTCACCCCAGCCTCAGGTATAGAATTTCAAAGCTGTAGGTTGAAGCTTTAATACCACCAACAGGTTCTCCCAGTAGCCCTCCCTGCGGAAGGCTGAGGCCTGCTCATTCCCACGGGGGTTCACGTCCAGCACCTCACATCCTATCTCAACTTTTTCCTCCACCGCTTGGCTCTTCCACTGCAAGAACATCTGCCCTTTATTCAGCTCCTGATATGCTGGCACTTTACATTCATAAAAATCTATTCCTCACAACCCTACAAGAGGTATTTTTAGGCCTCTCCCGCCCCTCCCCTTTCTTCTTTGCAGATAGGAATAGCGGGATCAGAGAGTTAAATCGCTCTTCTATACCTAATGGAGAGGGACCAGAATTTGAACCAATGTCTAATCTGCATCCCATGTTCTTTCCACCGGGTTCCACTGAAACATCTTAAAAGCAAGGTCTTTAGTCATCTTGGTATTTTATTTTCCCACACCAGAACCTAGGAGGTACTCAATACATACTGTAAATACAATGTCATTATTCCCTCTACTCCCCTTCCTCCACCCACCTCCCTTGAATCCCTATATGCTGGTAACTCATTGGAAAACCTTGGGGTGGATGGGTTTTTTATTATTGTTGATTTGAGAGAGAAACACAGAGAGAGAGAGAAACATTGATTTGCTGTTCCACTTAGTTATGCATTCATTGGTTGTTTCTTGTATGTGCCCAGACCCGGGATCGGGATCGAACCTCGGCTTTGGTGAATGGGGATGATGCTCAAACCAACTGAGCTACCCAGCCAGAGCCGGGGGGCTGACTTTTGAACTGTGACTGGCCAACTATGCATCAGTAACCTCGCTTTAGGACAGGTACGTTTGAGACTGATTTCTAAATGTGTCTGAAGTAAACTTGTCAATGTATATAAGTTAAGAACTCTCTAGTGCAAGGCCCCTGGGAAGACAGGCACTGGTGGGCAGGTAGCTGTGTCCTTACTGAACCCACAGCAGTGGCTCGTAACCGTTTTGGGTCGTGGGCGTCTTGAGGATATAATGAAGCTATAAACTCTCTCTCCAGAAAATGCACTTAGGGGCATGCACACGCGGTTTCCCAGTCCATTTCAGGGGTTCCTGCACTCTGCAGCCCATCCACGTACGAAGGCTACAGGCCCCTTCCAACGAAGGGCAGGTTTGTAAAACTGTCGTTTTTTGCACTACCAGCAGTAAGCATGCCTTAATTAACGTGGCTCTTCACAACTCCGCTTCACCTTATCAACAATAAAAAATATATTAAAAAAAAAAAAACACTCTGCTTCACCAGACCTGAAGTCCACCTATTGCTGCATAACTTACACAAAATCAGATTATCTGTCCGACCAGTGAGTGTGACCGAAAAGGGCAAACTCCTAGCCCGCTTCCCCATTCATCCACAGGCAGGAAGAGGGCCTCCTTTATAAGGGCCCCCCACCGCCGCCCCCATAATGCCCACCCGGCCCGGTCTCTCCGCTGAGCTGCCCAGAACCCGGGCCGGGCCGCCCTGGGGCTGACCCGGAGCCCCCGCTCTCGGCGCCACCCGCGGCCCCAGCCTCCCGTCGGCTCCTACTGGTCTGCAGCGTCTTCAGGAGCATGAGCTGGCACTTCTGGTCGTCGGCGAGGAAGCGGGCGAGGAAGCCCTGCTGGGGCTGCTCCGGAGCCAGCTGCTCGGGGGAGGCTTGGCCCGCGGCGCCCGGAGCGCCTGCCATGCCATCCGCGGACCCGGCGCCGCTCCCTCCCGCCTTCGGCGCCCGGGATGACGCCAGGAAAGGTAGCCACCCCCGCGCCAAACGCACCGCCAGGGCCCTCCTCCGCCAGGCCGACAGAACGCGGGGCGGGGCGCGGGGCGGGGCGCGGGGAGGAGGCGGGGAAGGGCCTCGGCGGGGGGGGGGGGGGGGGCGGGGCCGGGGCGGGGGGGGGGCGGGGGGGGGGCGGGGGCGGGGCGAGGGGAGGAGGCGGGGAAGGGCCTAGGCGGGGGCGCGGGGAGGGGGCCTGGGCGGGGCCTGGGCGGGGCCTGGGCGGGGCGCGGAGGTGGCGTCAGCTTTGCCGGCTGCACCCGGGAAGCTGTGGGCCGAGTCCCCATAAGCGCCGTTCCGCAGCCGCCTCCTCGTGGGCGACATTGGCCAGTCAGTCTCCTGCTCCCTCGAAGGTGTCCGCCGTCCTTCCTCTCCCCGTAGTTGCCCCCTGCAGACCATTGCAGCCCCTGACCTGCCCTTCCCCTCACGCCCAAAGCCAGATTGAAAGCGGCGTTTTCCAGAAATGTTTGACAGCTGCTATTATAACCACTGGTCACATCAAAAGCCCCAAACTATAGGACCAAGTACTTTTGTTTTGCTTCATCTGGGCCCACGGACCCACTCTTCCTTCTTAACTCATACTCCCATCTTGAAGCCCCTTTCCTCAGTCCTTATTCTGGTCCTGGTCAGATCTACCAGCTCCACAGGGCATTCCCCGATACTGTCAGCAAAATTAGTCTCTCCTTGCCCTCCCAGGGTGGCTCAGTTGGTTGGAGTGGCATCCCATACACCAAAAGGTTGCGGGTTCGCCCTAACCGGTTTGGCTCGGTGGACAGAGCATAGGCCTGCGGACTCAAGGGTCCCAGGTTCGATTCCCGTCAAGGGCATGTACCATGGTTGCAGGCACATCCCCAGTGGGGAGTGTGCAGGAGGCAGCTGATCGATGTTTCTAACTCTCTATCCCTCTCCCTTCCTCTCTGTAAAAAATCAATAAAATATATTAAAAGAAAAAAAAGGTTGCGAGTTTGATTCCCGATCAGGGCATATAGCTAGGTTGTGGATTTGATCGGGGTGCTTAGGGGTGGCAACCGATGGATGTTTCTCTCTCTCTCTTTCCCTTCCACTCCCTCTAAAGTCAATTTTTAAAAAACAAACATATCTTCAGGTGAGGATTTTTTAAAGGTTAACCTCTCCTTATCTCCCAATATGCAAACTACTTTGTACCAGTTATGGCTTTCATCGCAGCCTATCAGATTTTAATTTATGTGAGTTTCCTTTTCACACTAAATTATTCAGGTCAGCCTTGGTTCGAACCTTGTCCCCATAGGCCAAGGTTGCAGGTTGTGGGTGTGATCCGGGTGGAGGCACATGCAGGAATCAAGGGTGAATGCATGGGTGAGTGGGACAACAGGTGGATGTTTCTCTTTCTCTCTCCCCCTTTCTTTCTCTCTCTAAACATTAACTAATTAATTACTCAGTTCAGCTCACACATTTATTCAGCACCTATTATGATAAGTCAGGCATGGTGGCAGAAACAGAATAATAAGAGAATTGCTGAGGTTGAAGAAGATATTATGGTTTATCTGAGAAACGTATCTAAATAATAAAAGCTCAAGAGACCTTGAGGATTATGAACAGTGCCTTATGTGTCATAGATGCCTAATAAATATCTAAACTGGATGGGATGCTAGGATTGTTTAATCATTTGAAATATTATAAAAACATGAACACCTCCTGTGTACTAGAATGCTAAAGCTATACGTTTTTTAAAATCTACTTTTTATTGTGCTCACTTTGGGTACATTATTTCTGATTCCCACTACAACCCAGCAAGGTAAGTATTATTATCACTATTTTGCCAATAAGGAAAGTGAGCTTGGTAAAACTGAATAATTTATCCAGGACCACACAACCAGCTTCCAATCTAGTTATGGAGTGAAACACATAGGTATGCAAAACTAGATCATTACAAACTAGTGTGTTTAGTATAGAAAACTCAAGGGAGGCCAGCTAGAGAAAATGGGCTTGAAATGGACCATAGCCCATAAACAAATTTTTAAACTATTTCCATTGACCCTTTTTTAAGAGAGAGGGAGAAGGGAGAAGGAGAGAAACATCCATGTCAGAAAGACACATCAATTGGCTGCCTCCCGCATGCCCCCACCGGGGACTGAGCCTGAAACCTGGGCACGTGCCCCCGACCAGGAATTGAACCAGCAACCTTCTGGTGCACAGTACACGCCCAACCTACTGAGCAACACAGGCCAGGGCCAGCCTATAAACATTTGAAATATTATTCAGCTACATGAATAAGCAAAGAAATGCAAGTTAAAAGATGACTCTCTCCCTACCAAATTAGCAAACATGTTTTCAATATTCATTCTGAAGGCAACAGAGAGAAACCTAGAATAATTTATGCCAAAAAAATATAATCAGTAGTTGTCCGGTGTTATATTATTTATTATGTTCTTCTGAATTTTCCCAATGTTCTACAATAAGCACGCATTACCTTTACAATCAGAAAATTAAAACTTTAAAAATTGAGTAGGCTTTGGATGCCGTGTGTGTAAATTCTCCACTTACAGTATAAAGACATGGTGGTAGAATGGGCATTCAAGGAAAGATAGGGAAGTGCCAATGACTAACTTAAAAAAGAAAAATAATTACCGCAAAGAAATGAGAGTATGGGCCAAGATTTGGCTCTAAGGATTTTCATTTCTGGATTGCAGCACTAATTAAAAGCAAAAAAGGATAAAAAGTTTACATGTCCCACATGAGGTAAAATGGAATACATGCAGCCATGTCGTTAAGTGTCTTTTCTCAATTAAATGTGTTCAGGAAAGTTTTTAAGTTACAAAACAACATACACAACGGGATTCCTCCTGGAAGACAGCTCCAAAGTGTCCATGGTGGTTGGTTCTGATGGGTACGGTACGATCTGGGTTTGGGTTTGTTTTGCTTAGCTTGCCTTCATCTTCTAAAACAAAACTAACTGTTTTTATAGTAAGTTGTTTAAAGTTCTCTAAATATGCCTCAGCAACAAATGACACTGCAGAGCGTTTTAAAGTGCTTTACGCCTTTCAGCTTGTTAATAATTAACAGATGATCCATTTATCTAGTGTAACAAATTGGGTGAGATTACAGCCTTCCCGCAGCGTTGCCACCATCTCGGAAGCTGGGAAGGCACAGAACAGCCCGGCGCCCTCAGCGGGAGCCCCTCCCGCGGCCGAATACCAGGCTGGGCATAACCGGCATCTACTTCCGGAGGAGTTAGCCCTCCGAGCCGGAAGTGCATGAGGGAAGGTGCGCAGCATTCTGGGTAGAGTCTTGAGAAACGTGTTGGGTCCGCTGCCTGTTACCAGGGCAACCGGAGGCGATGCACGGCTACCCGCGGAGTGGGGTAGTAAGCCGATAGGCTGAGATGCCCGAGTGTTGGGAGGCGCGGAGGGGCAAGCGGCCCTTTTAAGAGGCGGTCGTGCTGATCGGAGGTCGTCCAGGCCTGGCCCGCGGGAGCGCCGGCCTGGGACCCGGGCGGGCCACGCCCTCTCGTTCTGAGCCTCGCGGGGAAAGGAGGTGTGGCCCCCAGCTCCTCCCTGTCACTTCTCGTTTTCTGCCTCCTTTTAGAAAATGTAAGTTGAGAATTCCTAATGTACATTGTAATGTCGTCTGATATCAAAGCAAATTACTCTTGCTCTTAAAGTTGTGGGGGAAAATTTTTAAAGGAAAACAAAAACTCACCATTTAACTACCCAGAAGTAACGTAAAATTTTCATGGGTTACCTATCAGTTTTTTCTCCGCATGAATATTCTTTACATAGTTGAGTTTATTGGGGGAAACCCATTTCGTATCCTTCCTTTTTTTAAAATACATTTTTATTGATTTCAGAGAGAGGGAGAGAAACATCCGTGATGAAAGAGAATCATGGATCGGCTGCCTCCTGCACACGCCCCCTACCGGGGATTGAGCCCGAGACCCGGGCATGTGCCCTTGAGCGGAATCGAACCCGGGACCCTTCAGTCCACAGGCCCACACTCTATCCACTGAGCCAAACCAGCTAGGGCTATCTTCCTTTTTTTCGCATATATGTGTTTATATGATATAATTCTGATATTGAAATCTTTGCAATAAAGAAGGCATTGAAGAGCTTAAAGTAAGTCTGTGGTGAATTGGAGAGAGTAATGAAGTGGGTGCAGCATGTGAAGACAGTTCTTTCAAGAAGTTTATATATTTATTAAGGATCTATGACACATAAGGCACTGTTCATAGTCCTTACGGTCTCTTGAGCTGTAAAGGAAAAGGGAGAGGTCAGTGGCCAGAGGAGAACGGCAAGTGAAAGAAAAAGACTTGGAGCTTTTCTTTAAGAAGAAGAGACTTAGTGATGTTTCTTAGTGCAAGAGGGGAAAATGGTAGCTAGAGTTACAGATACTGGCAGGAAAGAGGATAACAATGAATTCCTAAAGAAATAGGAGATGAGTGCATAAACCAAGCATATAAGTTAGTTTTGATAGGAGGCAGAGCTGGGAAGGAAGATGACAAGGTAGGTATGGATGTTAATCATTTAAAACCTCACAAATTGGCAAGAGTAACAAAAATAGAAAGTATATACCTAAAGATATATATAAAATGTCCAATAAATAGGTATGTTCAGCCACATTCGTGATAAATATAAATAGCATATTCAATGCCTATTACATTGGCAAAGATTAGAAAGAAAATAATATGTGTTGGACAAGAGTTCGGTGAAACAGGTATTGCAGGTGGGAATAGAAATTGGTACATCTTTGCTCTCCTCCAGACATTTTAGAACTGTATCAACATCCTTAAAATGTGTAAATACTTTGACTAAGTACGTATACTTCTAGGAAATTCTCAAAAGGAAATAATCAAAACTTCACATACACATTTAGCTGGGTGGAGTTCAATTCAGCTTGTCCACCAACAAAAGATAAGTTAAATATATTACACCCATACTTCTTAGACATAGAGAACATGGTTGCGGATAAGAGAAGGTCACTCATATTGGTTTAAATAAGAGCATTCTCAGGTTTTCTAG